TTCCTTCCTTCCTTCCTTCCTTCCTTCCTTCCTTCCTTCCTTCCTTCCTTCCTTTCCTTTCCTTTCCTTTCCTTTCCTTTCCTTTCCTTTCCTTTCCTTTCCCTTCCTTCCTTCCTTCCTTCCTTCCTTCCTTCCTTCCTTCCTTCCTTCCATCCATCCATCCATCCATCCATTGAAGCTTTTATGTTTCGTTTTGCAGGTACAAAGCCATCGTGAAGCACAAAACGGCCTATTATTCATTTTATTTACCGGTGGCGGCTGCCATGTATATGGTGAGTCCGAGGCTTGGTGTCAGCAGGCAGAAAACGTTACTAACCAGGGCCAAAAATAAAACTAGTCATAAAATGGAGTCTGTCATGTGACCGATCCACTTTAGAACCGCCATGAATTGCAGTTGTAAAACAGCTCGTTCAGAAGTTGGCCCTGAAAAACCCGACTTAACGATGGTTTTCTCAGAGTTACGCCCTTTGCTTGCCTCCCAGGGGTCACCTGATCAAAATGCAGGTGATTTAGTGGCAACTGACTCACACTTATGACAGTGGCAGTAGGTCACACTGAGCAGAGTCCATGGGCAAGCTGGATTCGCTTAACGACCGGGTTACTTATTAGCTCACTAACTGCGGCAAAAAAAAACCGTGCAAAACTCACTTAGCAATTGTCTCACTTAACAACGGAAACGTTGGGCTCAATTTGTGGTCATAAGTTGAGGACCTGTAATTATTATTTTTTAAAGATAAATGAAGCAGGCCACAATCCCAACTTCAGGGCGAGGAACAGGCGAATATACTAGAAGTTGTATTTTACTCATGGCTCGTTGCAAAGTTTATCCCTGTAGTTTGTGTGTTTCATTTTTTTTTCCCCCTTCTTCCTCCTCTTCCTCACTTAGGCTGGCATCGACAGCGAGGGAGAGCACGCACACGCCAAGGCCATCCTTCTCGAGATGGGGGAATTTTTTCAAATCCAGGTACCGAGTTTGCAAGTTTTTATCAAAAAGAAACGGATGGAAAATCCATTCAATAATAATTAATTTTTCTAAAAAAAATTAGATTGCTTGGGATTTGAACACGGGACATCCAGGCTCACGGGAACAAAACCAGCAAATTTTCCTTCGTTTCTCTGTTTTTTCATGGCATTTCTGGAAAAAGTGGCCTCCATCAGGACTAGAAACCTGCTGAGGCTCTAAATAAATCTGGTGTTCTCTGAAACAAGCCGGTAGTGTACTTCCTGGCTTAAACCTGAGAAGCAAAGGAGGTTTGAAAGCTGACCTGCCTTTTGTATATATATATATATATGTTTAAAAAATGTATGCAAAATTCACTTTTAACTGGTCAGTCTTTCAGGTTTGTCTGGATTCCTGGAATTAAAACCATTTTGGCCTAAGGGGCGAAGAAAAATCAAGTAAAGCAAGTAGTTTTGCAGGGTGCGGGTAGACTGGTTTGGGTTGTCAGCAGTCACACGGGGGTTGGACTAGATGGCCTACAAGATCCCTTCCAGCTCTGTTATTATTTCTGTCATTAAACCTGCAAAAACAGTGCGACGTGAAATACATTTTGAATTAAAAAGAGTTATATTCCTCCCAATGCAGGACGATTTCCTCGACAATTTCGGGGATCCCCAGGTGACTGGGAAAATAGGGACGGATATTCAGGATAACAAATGCAGCTGGCTGGTGGTGCAGAGCCTCAAACGAGCATCTCCGGAGCAGAGAAAGATTTTGGAGGTAACCTGGTTAGCTAAAACAACAAACCGAGTTTTCCAACGGCCACTGAATCGACTCTAAATGAACGTACATCAGGGGTGGGATTCTACCTGGTCAAATATCAGGAACATATTAACATACGTGGTGGACTTGGTATGGGATTTGTTTTATCAACGGATAGAAAATAGAACAAACTAAAAGGGATTAGATATATTCATAGAGCAATAAGAGAAACTAATGTGATAGATATAATGGATCTCATTTATACTACATACATGGGAATGTGATTATTGTTACATTACATATTTGATAAGAATATTATTAAAATGGTTAAGTAATTGAAATATGTACCTAATCGACGCACGATTGAAATGTGGAGTGGATTTTTTGTATATAAAAATAAAAAAATTCTGTCCAAATTTTATATATATATATATATATATATATATATATTTTTCTGGAATCCCGCAGGAAAACTACGGTCAAAAAGATCCGGAGAAAATTAATCGTGTGAAGGCTCTTTACGAAGAACAAGACTTAAAAGCCGTTTATAAAAACTACGAAGAAAACAGCTACCAACAGATTGTGGGTTTAATCGCCCAACACGCCGTCGGTTTGCCCAGCCGGATTTTCCTGGATTTGGCCGACAAAATCTATAAAAGACAGAAATAATCTCTGCAAAGAAATCTGGATTTTATTTTTATTTTATTTTTTTAGCTGGGACTTGAGATAAAAGCAAAATTTCTCAGAACGGTTGTGGGCTAATTCAGAAAAAGGAAGTGGGGAAAAAAGGGATATTTGCTTTGGGTTACACCCTCGATGGGATTTCGATAGGGGAGCTATTTAGAAAGATAAATAAATTTCATTTTTCTTTGCCGGAGGGGAAAATCCAAGGGTATTTCTAAGGGGGAATGCAGGCTGCTTTTTCCCCAACCCAAGCCGTGAATCCTTGCCATCGGGGTTGGCGGTTGGGGATGATTGGAATTGTAGTCCGTTTAGGAAACGGATGAGTTGCTGCTTGGACATTACTGGTCTTCGACACAGGACGAGGCTCGCTAAGATGCGATCCGTATTTGGGGTGATGTGGTGAGATCTTTTAAGGGGCTGGTTGGAAGACTTTGTACCGCCAATAAATTATTTTCCAATTGGATTTTGTGTGTTGAAAAGGGACAACTGAGGGGAGATTGTGGCTTTCCCCCCCTTCTTCTCTCCTTCCTTCTTCCTTTCTTTCTTCTCCGTTCAAGCTACGGCAGGGATGGAGGTGAAGGTAATCCTGAATAACAGCAGTTGGGATTGGAGGCTAAACAAGGCCGCTCTTAAATGACCGGTGCCTGATTCTATGAGCTTTTTTTTGCCACGGTTGTTAAGTGAATCATTGCCGTTGTTAAGCAAATCAGGCATTTGTTAAGTGAATATAATAATAAAGCAACAACAATAACAATAATATGATAATAATGATATAATAATACCCACCCATATCAACCATCAGCCAGTCAATATTTGTGATACATTTTTAAAGGTTTAGTTGACTGAGTTTCATGTTTAATGAATAAAGTTAATAATAATAAAATAATAATAAAAAATTGATACCTAGGATGCTGGCACCAGTTCGTATCAACCATCAGTGCCAGTTAATAATAATTGTGATACATTTTTAAATGTTCAGTTGACTGAGTTTCATGTTTAATGAATAAAGTTAATAATAATAATAATAACAACAACAACAATAATAATATATCAATATATTGCAGCTTCCTGCAATAACACCAGCAAAACTGGGGGGAAAAAGCTACTCGGAACATCATACATTTTAAGAAGATACAATCGGTGCCAGTTAATATTTGTGATACATTTTTAAATGTTCAGTTGGTTGAGTTTCATGTTTAATGAATAAAGGATATAATAATAATAATAATAAATAATAATAATAAATAATAAATAAATAAATTGATACCTAGGATGCTGGCAAGCAACCCGTATCAACCATCAGTGCCAGTTAATAATATTTGTGATACATTTTTAAGTGTTCAGTTGACTGAGTTTCATGTTTAATGAATAAAAGATAATAACTAACAATAATAATAACATAGAAAATAGAATAACAATAGAATAATAGAATAAGAATAGAATAGAATGGATAGAAATAATGGAATAGAGTAGAAAGGATAGGATAGGATAGAACAGAACAGAACAGAACAGAATAGAATAGAATAGAATAGAATAGAATAGAAATTAATGGAATAGGATAGAATTCTTTATTGGCCAAGTGTGATTGGACACACAAGGAATTTGTCTTGAAGAAATTGTTCTCGCCTGTGGGGGATATATTTATTTTTAAAAGATGTGTGGGACTTGGAGAGACACCTGGAATTCTTACTCATAAGGAGCAGAGCGGTGTGGATAAATTGCACGTTGCAATGTGTGTGTGTGTGTGTGTGTGTGTGTGTGTTTGTGGGTAGAATTAAAAAAGAAATATAAAGAAAGGCGCAGGTCCAGCCTTAAATGGATTTGAGCGCAAACTCTGGAGGGGAAAAAAAAGAGAAAAGAAAAGAAAGCTCTAAGGTGCATGCTTGAATCCAAGCCTAACCGTGGCTTGTTTTAAACTCTGTTAAATCAAGGCGATTTACCCTAAACTTTCTACTCGGGTCAAAAGCTCAACTTCACCATTCCAATGAGACACCCAAACCTCGTGGGTTTTGGCTCTGTTTGGGCCAGAATCAACCTCTGTCTGTCTGGCTGTATCTCTCTTATATCTATACCTATCCATCCATCTGTCTATATATCTATATCTATGTATATCTATCTATCTATCTATCTATCTATCTATCTATCTATCTATCTATCTATCTATCTA